TTGTGCTCTTTTGCCTTAATCTCTCTTTTTTCTTCTTCGTTATTCTCTATAAGTTTGTCCTCTATATCGCTGATTCTCTGTTCTGCTTTGTCCATCCTTGCCGCCGCTGCATCCATCCATGATTGCAGCTCAGTTATAGCATTTTTAATTTCATTCTGGGTGTTTTTTTACATCTTTAATCTTTGCAGAAAGGGAGTCTAATCTATATTTGACTCCAGCTAGTTTTCATATTATCGTGATTCTAAATTCTGGTTCAGATATCTTGCTTGTATCTGTGTTGGTTAAATCCCTGGCTGTCGTTTCTTTGTGCTCTTTCTTTTGGGGTGAATTCATTTTGCGGCCTCTCGCTTCCCAAGTTCAGCTCTTCGTGTCGCGTACCTGCTGAATTCTGTGGTTCAGGTTGTGCAGATTGTTGTGTTAATCTTCCAATCAGTTTTCTAGGTGTGTAGGATGGTTTAATGTTGGTCTGGCTGTATTTCATGGATGTGAGACACACATAAAACTTCCATGCTATTCTGCCATCTTGGCTCTTTCTCCCCAATTTAGAAGTTTCAAAGGGAGTTTGTATGTGTGTGTATCACAGAAGGAGGAGCAGAAGGAAAGAAGTGAAAGCAGATAACTCATATCCATTATTACAAAAATATCATCAATCAGTCAAGTTTTTATCAAACAAAAGTAACTTTTAATAATATAAAGTATCTTATCTAGAGAAAAAAGCTGTTTCATTAATCATGTATTTATAAATTTAAGAAATGCGAATTGTCAAAGTATTTTGCTCAAAATGTTTATGTTTCATTTAAAAGATTGAGGCTAATTGGGGCGCCTCGGTGCCTCAGTCGGTTAAGTGTCCAACTTCAACTCAGGTCATGATATTGCAGTTTGTGAGTTCGAGCCTTGTGTCAGGCTCTGTGCTGGCAACCCAGAGCCTGGAGCCTGCTTCGTATTCTGTGTCTCCTCTCTCTGCCCCTCCCATGTTCATGCTCTGTCTCTTTCTCTGTCTCTCAATAATAAATAAACGTTAAAAATTTTTTAATAAAAAAATAAAAAGATTGAGGCTAATTAAAATATTCAGAAGATGAGAAAAAGAAAGATAACACGCAAGTGATGATTTTTAAAGAAGTTCGGGTAAAAGTGTTGCTACAGAAGGATGACAGTTCCTTTATTCTAAATAGTCTGTTGGCCCTCAAAAGCCACACAATCAAATTAACAGTAATGACTGACATAAATCAAAATTTGATACCGTCATGTATATACAATGAATAAGGACATCATTAGAAAATGTTCCTATTTATGTTGACCTGTAACGTAAAATGGAAGTGAATGCCCTGTTGAAGATTAATCACCTAGACATCCAGTGAGATTTGATCGTAAAGCCCCCAATTCATAGAAATTATGACAAACCACTGTGACTATGGCAAAGGAAACAGGTACCCGGGCTTGTAACAGGCAGAAAATAGTCATGTATGAGCCACTTTAGAAGATATGCTAATGTTAATATGAAACCCAACTATTGAACATTCAATTCCAATCTAAATTGTATTTTCTTTCAGACTCCACAGATTTCAGATGTATTTGTTATTATGGAGATTCCTATCTAGAATTTCGGGATGTGTTGTTAAGTCCACAAAGTAATGTATCACTAGAATTTCATACCTTCAACTCCTATGGACTCCTGCTGTATATCAAGCAAGACTCAAATTCAGTTGATAAGTTTTTTATTCAATTATTTATTGAAAATGGTACTTTAAAGGTAAGTCATTATATTTATTTCATTTAAAGGAATTTTAGAAAGTCTGATTCTTTTAGTGGTTATTGTCAAAATAAAATTTTATCTAAAATATGTCTTTTATAATCACCACTAGGCTGTGTGTTCTGTTTTTGTAATTTTTCCATATTCAGTATTTATATTTCAAAATAGTATATACTTTGAATAGCTATCATTCTCTTCTTTTTATTTTTAACCTTTTTCTGTTATTATGTTTCCCAATATCCCAGTGATAGTAACTGCTACCATTTTTTGTAGATTTAGTGGAATATGTGATCTGGGGAGCCCAAAGATTTTTTCAGAGGATCCTTAAGGAAAAGCTATCTTAATGATACTGTTATTTGCCTTTTTTTACTCTCATTCTCATAAATATACAGTGGAGTTTTCCAGAGGCTGCATGGCATGTGATGATGTCATCTTTCTGATCACTAATGCAATGTGTACTTCCACATTTTTGTATTTTAAAAATGTTTGTTTTAATTTTAATATTATAAATATTGATAAATATAACCCAGTAAACAAAAACTCTTTGAGGTCCTCAATAATTTTTAAGAGCACAAAGAGATTTTGAGATCAAAAAGTTTGAGATCATGGATTTAACACTTGGTAGTCTTTATAACAACTTCTTTTAAAAGTCCAAGATCAGGGGCACATGGGTGGCTCAGTCAGTTAAGCATCTGACTTCAGCTCTGATCTCACTATTCCCAAGTTCAAGTCCAGCATTGGGCTCTTTGCTGACAGCTTGGAGCCTGAAGCTTGTTTTAAATTCTGTGTCTCCTTCTCTCTCTCTCTGCCTCTTCCCTGCTTGCATCTCTCTCTCTCAAATATAAACATTAAAAAAAAATTAAAATTCCAAGATCACACAGCTAATAAACACTAAATTATAAGGCTGACTTTGAGTTGAAAGTGTATGCTCTTTTTTCAGTACTGTTCTATCATAACCCATCAACTCCTATTCCTGTGGTAAATACCCAGATTAAGGAAGCCATCCAAATCATCACTGCAATAAAGTAATTAACTCAACATAGCCTAAAATATTCAATATAACACTGTATTTTTATCTATCATTTCTTTTATGATGTGATTAAATATGTGAATTTCCATGAAATAGTTATAATTTAAATAAGTCATGTTATACCAGTTTGACTTTCTTTAAATGTTCATCTTTCTTAAGTAATACAACACATAATACGTAATTTACTACGAAGTCTGATATTAATAAATATCAGCCAGATGTAGGCATTGATAGTGGTAATATTTTTACTCATTCATGTATTTGTTCACTCATTTGTTAAACATTTATCTATCATCAATCACTTTGTCATTGGTTCTGAGGATTCAGTGGTAAACAAAACACACTTTATTTTCCTCATATTGCTTCCAATTGATTACTGATAATGATAGGAACAGGTGAAACAGGAGTAAGAAAATAGAATTCTGTAACAAATAGAACACAGTAATGAATCATCAGACATCAGTCTTATCTTCAAGTTTGCTGATCCCTGCTCTACAGCATTTTCCTCAACTAAGACCAACGTTTTCCATTATTCTTATAATAAGCATAAAAATATGGAGACCAAATATAAAAAATAATAAAACACACATAATATTGATCATTGGTCATGTTCAAAATGTTTCCCCTCAGCACAATTTTCTGCTGCAAACTCCCATTAACTGAGTGTCTATCTCAGCTAGTTCGTTTTTCTCACCACTGTGGACATCTCCATAGACATTATGAGGAACTACCAGAGAGTTTCAGGATTGTGGGTGAAATATTTTATGAAATGATGAATGATGGAGACTCCTTTCACTTTCAGATGGATAAAAATAAATTCACAATAGGTTGAATCAAGACATTGAGAAATTATAAAATCATAATGAGAGAAAAGACTTGTAGAATTTCTTTACTTCAGGTTTTATGACAAAGGATATATACTCATGTCTGTAATAATAATTACTATCATTTACTGAATTGAAATTATGTATAAGGCTCCATCTTAAGAAATGTATTAAGATCGTCATCTCTGGAGTCAGAGTTTGGAGCCCAGCTCTGCTACTTAGGAGCTTTGAGAACTTGCAAGTCACTTAAGCACTTTGTGCTTAAATTTACTCACTTGTAAAATGAAGGTAATAAAGATTGTTGTGAAGCTCAAGTTAATAAATGAATAAATGTTGGGGAGTAAATGTAATGCAATGAGTAAATAAGTAAATGCATATAAACATGTAGAAGGATGTCTGGGACATGAATCAAATGTGAAGGTTAGATATTTTCTCTCTGCATTTTGCAAAAATCATGCAGACAAGCGAGGCTTCTCACAGAGTTCAGTATTACACATGCTCTTAGGACTCCTTTAAGAATGGTAGATAAGGAATTTTTACTTTGTTGTGTAAATCCAAAATTCATGTTCGTTCTCACATCACTGCTTCCTTGCAATGATTTAAAGGAAATTTCAGTGTTACTCTGTCTTCATGATTTTAAGATTTTCCTTGTTCCACTATGATTTGTGAGACTATGCTCCAATTTCTTCATCTATTTTAAAAGTATAATCATATGGGGAATGCATTTACATTACAATTTTCACAAAAAGACATATTTATGGTTGAACTTTTGCAGTGATCATAATTTAAGACCTATTCTAGAAATGCAGAATTGTTAGTCCATCTTTTTAGGAAATCACAAGTTTTAGGAAAGTTTAATAATATGAAACTTAATTTTTATTTTTATTTTTTGAAATAGCTTTTAAAAACACTTTACTGGCTCTTTCTAATAACAAGGAAGTTAAGTACATACATAATATCCATTGTTGGGACTCAAATACCTGACACCAGACTTGCTGTCTGTGTTGCAAATCACTGTGCCTCCCTGGCTAGCAGCAAATCACTTCACTTTAGTTTACATCTCTGAATAATGGAGCTAATAAAAGAATAGTTCCTACTTCATAGAGTTTTGTTTTTTATTTTGTATTGTAAGGAAGGAATCAGTTGATACTTATAAAATGTTTTAAAACTCTGTAGCACCCAAGTAATCACTCAATAAATAGTAGCTTTTATGTATATAATATATAATATATTATATATGTCTATATATGTCATATAGATATATGTGTCTATATATGTCACATATATATGACATATATGTGACGTATATATCTGTATATGTCATAAAGGAGCTATTTATAATAAAAAGATTTCAAGTAAAAATAATAGAATGATCCATTAAATATTTTATATTCGTTTGACAGCTTTGGAGATAAAAGGGAATTATTAACATTTTATCATTTTATCATTAACATTTAAATATACTATTTAACATATTTCTTAAAGCCAACTTGTAGTAGATAATTTTTTAAGGAATCTTTTGCAATCTTTTGTAATCTATCATAAAATTAAAATATATAGCATAATATTTATCTTTGGACCCAATGTGGGTTTTAGGTATATCAACTTAAATATAGCTAGATGCACAGGAATTATGCAAGACCATGCAGCTGTGTTTCTTTAACGTATATGTGGGTTTTTCATTTCTTGCTGATATGATAAGCCCCTTTCTGGGAGAGTATAGCTGTACTATAACTAATATACATGCAGACATATGCTATGAAGAGGGTGAATAGGTCACTGAATCCTACCTGTGGAATTCTCAGGGAGTCCTGATCAAATGTACCTGTTAGAGACATGATCTGCCCCCTTTTAAAATATAACTTGGCTCAATTAGTAGTAACCCTACAAAGACCCCCCTCTAGCCTCAGGAAGGTTAGAATAAATGGTTAACCTCCATAATCTTCAATGTTTCCTTCCTTGGACTTTAACATCACCCTCTACATTGTATTCACTAATCTGCACGTTGCTCAATTGGTAGTATGTAAGGAAGCTTGCTAATAATACTCACTTTCTGCTAGCAGAAAAAGCTGCCTTTCTCAACCATGTTCCCCAGAATATTGGAACAGAAACTAGAAGTGTCTGTGTGTATGTGTGCATGTACACATAGATGATGCATGTATATGTATATAATACTTATACATTTATTTATTTTAATTCTACACTTTATTAGTTGTATACCTTGAACTGTCACTTCTCTTAATTTTCAGACACTTTGTCTCCAAAGCAATATAAAAACTATTGGTAAATTCTAAGTCTAATGCAAATATGTGTCAATTTCGTTGTGAGAAACTGAAGGAAACTTCTTTTTTTCTTATAGTACCACTTTTTCTGTGCTGGTGAAGCAAAATTGAAAAGCATTAACACTACCATTAAAGTGGATGATGGACAAAAGTATACACTGTTTATCAGGTAATATATATCTATTTTCTTGTAGACTTACCATTATTATAAGTAACAGAGACTGTTCCTCTGGATGTTGTTTTTGCCCTTTAAAGTCGAGGTTATCTGAGTATCCTGATATCTGAGATATTCATATGCACTTGAATGTGAATTAATGTTTATCAAGCCATTTTGCCTTTTCTCTATGTCCTTAAAATAGTGCTGAGGAAAGAATGTTAAAGGGGTTATATTATCTATGAAATTATATAAGCAGCTTTACAAAGAAGTCATTAAACCTTCATATTATTTTCAAATTAGAGAAATCATAAAAAGCAAATAAAGTGGTATTTCTTTTGATAAGCAAAGTTAAACATATTCACTGTGGAAAATTTGGAACATCCAGAAAAACATAAAGAAGAAATTTAAAATGATTCATTATACCATAGTCAAGATAGAATAACGAAAATTTATTGCTCTATTCCCAAAAGCTGTGTTTGAAGGTGACTCTATCCCAAAACTCTCGCCAACATCAGGTATAATTTTGCCTATCTGGATAAGTGAAAATGATGTTTTCCCTTAATTATCCTTCCTTGACTTACGGCAAAGCTTATTTTTTAATATAGAATTAATACCTTTGTGTTATGTGTTTTGCCTCCCTCTACTATTGTTTTTTACTTAAATGGTACTTTAAAACACATACCACAGGCCTAATTCAGTATGGAGACTAAAATACGTTATTTGGTTACAACAATAGCTGATTATTTAGTAATAATAATTATCTATTTAAATCCAATAAAAAGGAAAGCAAAAAGGCTAAAACAGGGATGAGACAAGAAGTTATTTGGAAAGTTTTTTTTTTTTTAAATTTTTTTTCAACATTTATTTATTTTTGGGACAGAGAGAGACAGAGCATGAACGGGGGAGGGGCAGAGAGAGAGGGAGACACAGAATCGGAAACAGGCTCCAGGCTCTGAGCCATCAGCCCAGAGCCCGACGCGGGGCTCGAACTCCCGGACCGCGAGATCGTGACCTGGCTGAAGTCGGACGCTTAAACGACTGCGCCACCCAGGCGCCCCGTTATTTGGAAAGTTTTAAGGGTGTTGAACCCTCTTTCAGCCAGAACTTTCCAAATTCTGTCCTCCAAGAATTTCATATCTTTTAGAAAACTGACCAAAAAACAATCTATTGTCAACTAAATTGAGGAAAGGCTACATGACATATACCACCTTTGACTGCTCAAAATACACAGGAGCTTTTTAAGACCTCTAAGATACATTGAGTAAGGTCTTACTTTCTTTGCTTAACTCAAAATATAAGCACAGAATCCTTTAATATATTTTTTTAGCATTTTAACCTCTTGAATAGTTAACACTGGGGGCAATGCACTTTGGTAAATTCCATCTTAGCCGAAATAACAATTTTCCTGGGCAGGGAGAGACTACCATCATCTGGAAGGAAAGCAGGTATATGAGCATTAGGGCAGCAGTAAAAATAAGTTGTAAAAGACATATTTTAGCCCCTGGACGAAACAAAGACAGATAAGAAGTGATGTGAGAACCATTTCTGGCCTGGGGTATGTTGCAAAAGAGTTAAAAAAATCATTGAGGATACAGTAATCATACTTAAAGTTTATTAGGCACCAATAATGTGTCAATGTGGTAAATTTGTAACATATATGAATTTATTTATTGTTAAGAACAATTCTAATTATTATGTACATTTTCCAGATGTAAAATGGAGAGATAGATTAAATACAGGAAAAGACATAGTTTTGAAAAAATGGCACAATTCCAAGGCTGCTCTTATTCCAAACCTATGAATAAATTTTAAGGTATAGACCCTATGATCCATGCTGTAGAAACATAAATAATTTGTTCTCTTAACCCTAAAAGAACTGCTGTATATTCAAGATAAGATGAAGATAAGAATTTTAAATAACCTGCCCAATGAAGGATTAATGTAAGAACAAAATTCACACACATTAAACAGCATATAACTGTATGTAATCATAGTGAGATTAATAAAGCCCATTATATTGGTTTGGTCAGGCTGCCATAACAAGTACCACAGATTGGCTGCTTAAGCAACAGAAATTGATTTTCTCACAATTTTGGAGGCTGGAAGGCTGAGATCAAGGTGTCAGCAGGTTTGGTTCTTTGGAGGGCTCTCTCCTTGTCTTGTAGATGGCTGTCTTCTCTCTGTGTCTTCACATCATTTTCCTTGGTGTATATCTGTATCCTAAATTCCTCTTCGTATAAAGACATCAATCATCTCATTTTAATTTCCTACCTCTTTAAAAACCCCATCTTCAAATATAGTCACATTCTGAAGCACTGGGGGTTAGGACTTCAACATATGAATTTTGCAGGGGACATAATTCAGTCCATAACACTCATTTTGCATATTTGAAAACTGAGGCTCAGAGAAGGTAGACATCTTCCTCTAGATCACATTGTTAGACAGTAAGAAGTGTTAAAAAAATATTCAGCTGAGTAAATTTGAAGATCTGTTTGGCCTTATTAAATGATTCTTGAGTTGAGCAGCATCCCCTCTAGCAAGTAGAGAGGATTTCTGCTGAGGTAAACAAAATAATTACTTTTTCTTTTAGAGAGATCAAGTGCACCTGTGAGCTGGTGAGAGCGATAGAGAGGGGGAGAGAGAGAATCTTAAGCAGGCTTCACACTCAGCACAGAGCCTGACACGGGTCCCAATCCCATGATCCTGGGATCATGACCCGTGCTGAAATCAAGAGTCGAATACTCAACCTGCTAGTCACCCAGGAGCCCCAAACAAAAGAAAGATTTTTAAGGGCAGAGAGAGGGCATTAAAAAGAGGAATTTATTAACAAGGAATACATTGTTTAGGCAAGGTTACCCTCCAAAGAGGAATAGAAAGGGTCTATCAGTAAATTTCCTAGTATTGATCAAGAATTACATGTTGACTGGTTAAAGGTTATTTTCCAGGGGGTTAAAACTGCAGTTAGTTTAGGTAGTAACTCTTTGGTGACTTGGCCTAAGTGACACCATTTTTAGCCTGTGGTTTTCTTTTTAACTGAGGGCAAGATTAGAACCATGACCCTCTGCCTTCTAACCTGATCATTATTTTCTACTATAATATGTCCAGTCAGTGTTTTAAAAGTGACAACATACTATTTAAAATCTTCTTTAAAAGAAACATTAAGGGGCACCTGGGTGACTCAGTAGGCTAAGTGTCTGACTTCAGCTCAGGTCGTGATTTCACAGTTCATGAATTCAAGCCCCGCTTGGGCTCTGTGCTGACAGCTTAGAGCCTGGAGCCTGCTTTGGGTTCTGTGTCTCCCTCGCTTTCTGTGCCTGACTCACTCTCTCTCTCTCAAAAATAAAAAAAAAAATATTTAAAAAAATTTTAAATGAAAGAAACATTAAATGTAAAACATTTAAAAATCCCAAGAACACATACTTTTCACTCTCCTCATCACAAGTAACTTTTAAAGGTATTTAACAACTAAAAAATAACTTTCTATGTTCTATGACTTTTTTGCAACTTACCTACAATATGTTGCTTTTAATTTTTATCAAGAAGTAGTTGATAATCTGTCTGTATCTGGTCTAAGTTCTCTAAATTCAGAAATATCTCTTCACAAGTTTTTGATTTATTTGAAGTAATGGGAAATTTATACAAATATGCTTTTGTCTGCAATTATCATCTATAAAGAACAAGAGTGGGGTTCCATTAATTTTATTTTCCTATACCTTTAAAATATACTTCTAGAGGTAAAAGGGGAAAATCTATCTTTAAGTTTAACTCAGTTCAAGAATGCTGTCGCCAATAACTTTTTTTAACCATTAATATACTCTTTAAAGTAAAGATAAATGGTAGTTGCACATTTCACTCCCAGCTCTACACTCTTTTATGTTGTTTCTCTTGAATGACATTACCCTTGAATATGAATATAGGAGAAGCATCTTTCCTCAAATGCTCTTATGGAAATATAAGAAAAAGAATAGCAAGGTTTCACTCAGACCATGATGAAGTACTCTTACAAAGAGTGAAACAAATATCCTCCAAGAAAAAGTAACTGAGCTCATTATTTTTTAGAACAAGGAAAGACAAGATGTTCTGCAGAGCAGCATGGCCCTTTTAAAAAAAGAAGTGTGGATTGCTTAAGCTAACAAAAGCAGGAAGGAAAATATGGAATTTTTAAATCAGGTGAAATATACACTGGCATAATAAAGATACTAAGGAGCACATATACTAAAAACTATTTTAGTTTTTAGTAGGAAATTAGCTATAGCTGTTGCTCATCTTTTAATGAAAGAAGGGAAAGTGAAAATGGGACCATGCAGTGATATTAGGCTAGTGAACAACAGCATATAGTATATCAAGAAGAAAAAGAAATACAAATAGGTGTACATTTGTTACTCCACTCCTGAATACTGTAGATGTATTGAAACATAAGGAGCTGAGATAATCTAAGATAGTGGTGCATATATTTTCAGGCAAACCCAAATCTGAGAGTGTGATGTAGCACTTTATCCATGTCTATTCGTATATTTACCATAATTATATATGTTTTATATTATATACCTCACATTACTTGTGTTACAAACATCATTGCATATATCACATGATTGCATCTATTATTATATATCATGATATAATTGTATATTAATACATTATAGTATTATAGGATTTGTATTTAATATATATATGTATATATGTATATATTTTATGGGACTTTTCCTTTAAAGCCCTACTTAATATTTACCTTCGTTCTTGGAGAGAGATAGGATTTGGAATTCAAAGATAGAAATAAATTAGCCTCTTCTGACCTCCTCAGTTATGGGCCTTAAAAGTTTTTTTTTTTTAAGTTTATTTATTATTCTTGAGAGATAGAGACAGAGCATGAGCAGGGGAGGGGCAGAGAGAAAGGAGGAGACACAGAATCTGAAGCAGGCTCCAAGCTCTGAGCCATCAGCACAGAGCCAGAAGCAGGGCTTGAACTCACGAACTGCGAGATCACGACCTGAGCTGAAGCCGGATGCTTAACC